TGTGCTAATTTGTGTTATAGCTAATCCAGCTGAAGTTTTAGTGAGCTTTAATGGAATGTGGCTTGTAACTTAGTAAAACTTCAGCTCAATGAGCTGAGGCACTAGTTAGCGTACATGCTAGCCAAACTTTTCAAGTTGTTTTGCCTCTTTACTTTACAAACCACAATGTGAAAGTAATGTAGTGTTGTGCTCTATTCATCAGACTGAAGGTTTTCCATGATGAAAGGTTTGTTATTTAAAGCAGGGTCAAACTTGATGCCACTGCAAGCTGCAGGAGAATAGTGTTGTAGGCATGACTGTGCATGACTGTTCCAAAACAAACAGAAAAATAAACACACAGAAGGATAAAACTGACAGTTGGAAAGGTGTTAATACATTAAGGTTGGCAGTCCTAATTTAATGAGTTTCTTTGTTTTGTTTTTTATTCTCAGCCTGATTTTGTCGAGCCTCAAGCCTCTGAGGTTGAGTCTGTGTTTTTAGTTTAGTGTACTAATGTAAGCCCCTCGTAAAAGCCTGTCAGATTCGACACAGCTTCAAATAATGAGCCTCAGATTATAGAGAAACATTCAATCTGAGGGACTGAACTGAAGACCTACCTGCAGTAAACGTGGGGTTTAGAGGAAAGTGGAAATATTACTTAAAATAGTTGGTTACTGTATAGGTTGTGTTGCAAGTATGCTTCCTAGCTAGCATAATAGCTAATCCAGCTGAGGTTTTAGTATGTCTTAGAGAAAAGTGGTCTGCAATTTAACAAAACTTCAGCTAGATTCGCTGACAACTTAAACTAAATTAGCTATTACATTAACTAGTTTACTTGCTATTGAAACTACATGCCACATTTGTTGCATGGAGTGCTTCATACTGTCCATCAGACTCAGGATTGTTCTATAAGGCTTATTACTTGAAACTGTATTGAGCCTGACACCACTGTGAGTTGCAGTAATGAATGTGCATGACCATACAAAACTGACAGAAAAAGTAACATGTAAAGTTGAAAATAAATGGTTTTACCACATTAAGGTCAGCGGTCCTAATTTAATTGGTTTAGTTTGTTTTTTTTCTCAGGCTTACCTCTCAAGTAAATGACTGACTTGCAACTTGAGTCCCCATTTCTAATAGCCACTATTTGCTGTGTTTGCAAGAGAAGTGCTTTACAAATAAAGGTTTGATTTGGTGCATTCACATGTAATTGTTGTAGCATTGTGGGTATTGCCCATTAGGAATGCAGTGCACATCAATGCCCATTGTAGTGAGTGAAAATGGTAGAGTCTACATGTTATAACTGCATGATGATGGCCTGAACAACATACTGTGTCATTTACAGCATGCTGTGCAGGGAGCGGTTGGTTCAAGGCAGGGTTTCAATGGAACGGGTTATACGTATTATGGCCCATACGTTTCACATCATTATATGCAAATGAGATAACTACACATGATATGTTAGCTCCACACCTTTGCTCATTCACTGTTCAATACTTTTCAATGCAATAAATGGCCACCAACTTATTACCATTTTCTTACCATTCTGAATGCAGTAAATGTGCACTATTTTCTTTGCTAGGCCAGTAAGCGATGCTGCCATGCAAATGTTCTCTGGTGTGTGCTGGCAGACGCTAAGCTAGCCATGGGCTATGTTTCTGCTGAAGACAAGATAGGGCAGGGTGAGGATGCATATGAGCGAGCTAAGTGGGTCATCATCACTCACATCCATATATATTACGTAACCCCCCTGTGTGAATAGTGTATTAGATGCACAGGCTGTGTTGCAAAAGCAAATATGCTCTTCTTTATGCTGACATGTTCAGATGCTAACTAGATTGCATTGTAATCCAAGGGTATGTGTGGGAGTCAACAGCAATTATTCACAGACAAACTAGTGCAAAGCGCGCTCTGTGTGCTTGTGAGTTTGTGCATTATTTCATTAATTAATCAACAGCGTTCCTTTCCGAGTGATTTGAACTCGATGCGTTATTCATAACGGAATGCAAAAGCTAAACGTTGGTTGCAGTTTACTAGCAGACACAAAGGAAGAAACGCAAAAGGTATCTGTTTCAGTTATGCTTCCAATAGACACATTTGGCATGATTTCAGCATGAACTTTCATTAGCATTGGATCGGAATGTTCTAGAACCTTCAGCAGGCTCTGTTCCTGCCCCCATGATGAGAAACAATACAGCATCTGTGATAATGACAGCGCCTAGTTTTATGACTCTTGCAGTGCAATAGACTCTATGAGTGCACAAAGATTGTTTATAAACTGGAGGCAGGGTAATTATTTTGTCAAAAAGTCCAGAAAAACAAAAGACGTGCATCTTTTTCAATTTTATTTCTTGCTTTTTCTCACTCAGATCACGCCTACGGTTTGGGAATGGGGAAAAAACACACACACACTGACGTGAGAGACTGAACGTGCAGCTGAGCTGACACAACAAATACGTATTCGAATTCTGCCAAATTGACTGTTTGACCATCTGTGATTCGGTGGCACACCACGCCAGAATCAAATTAGCCCGTTAATGTATTCTGGTCCAGAGGCCTGTGCGGTACTTGGGCTAGATGGGATGTCATGAACTTGCTTATTTAGCTTTCACATTGCTAAAGACCCGTATTATGCTCAAGCTGTGAAAGGGCCCATGCAAACACAGGGGGGTTTGTATATAAGAGCTGCATTCTATCAGTCACTGGGAATTTACCATTGAAAAGGGGAATCTATAATGAAGAACTTGGTATGGCTTGTATATGTGTTCAGAGAACTGGAGCTCGAATGAATCATGATAATATACAACGTTCTAATATACAAGGTAAAGCAAAGAAGCCCTGAACATTGTTTCAAATGTTTTTTTTGTACTCACTAAAAAGGTAGTCCCAGTGGCTTATAGTGTTGTTTTTTAGCAACAGGTGATCAGAAAAATGATACAAGAATGAGGAAAAATTAAGAAATAATAACATGCATAAAATGCTTTTCAACCAATCAGATTGTATGATTGGAACTACTTTGAGACTGTACATATGAAGAGTCTCTTAACTCAGAGACACCTGAGAAATGGAGTAAGTGGAGCAGGTGCTGCCCTACTTTATTTGAGGGGAAACAATTACATGCTTTTGCTCTCATATGCAGCGATTATGTATGTTTTATTTGAATGAAAGACTTTCAGTGTAAATAACCCTGTAAGCAACCTCCCCTAGAACAAGCTGTCACTTACAGAAGTGCATTCCTACCAGGGGAGAAAAAAAATCTAAATCTTGAAGATTTGGCTTATTATGTGGATGCATTGACTTACTTTCCTTAGATTGTGACTTATTTATCTTGTAATAATGACATTTTCTCTGAATTTTGACACATTTCAAAATAATTACTATTTTTTCACATTTGGCTTTTTTTTCCTCAAGATTCTAAGTTAGTTTGTTGAAATAAAGCTTATTTCCTGAAATTTTGGACTTATAATCTCTAAAATTCTGACTTACTATGGCAGAACAATGTGTTACTCAATTTCAAGAAAACAAGTAATGAGTTCAGGATAGTAGGTCAAAATTATAGGAAAATAAGTATTTAATTCAAGATAATAAGTTAATAGTAAATTATTAGACATAATAAATTATTTAGACATAATAAGTCAAATGAAATTTTAAGTAAAATATTTTGACATACTGCTGCCAGAAACTGGGAAGAAAAACAAACATTTTTTTTTTTTCCTTTACTACCTGAAAGAATGCGCTTCCACTGTTTGCAACTATTTTTAACCTAAACTGAAATAAACAGGTCTGCTCCCCCACTTGTTCTCAGAATCAGGCGCCCATGCTCTAACGAAACTGATCTGATGTCTTTCTCTATCTCAAGTTCTTTTTCTGTCTATGAGAGTCAGAGATTTTAAAATCTCAGCTTTGTTGACACATGTAAAATGTTTCACTGCATGGCAGCTGTGGCGAGGTCCTGGTGATGTCTTACCTTCAAAATCCATGTAGAACCACACCACGCCTGAAAACCAGCTGAATAGATGTATAGTTGTCCCCCAAAGAGAAGATAAAGTTAGAATGATAGAAAGAGAATAGAGGAATGAAATATTTCATTCCCCACAGAACTCACCAAATGGATAAAACACATGAAATCAGCAAGAGCATTTGGACCAAATGTTCTAGAAACTTCAGCAGGCCCTGTTCGTGCCCCATAACAATAAACAGAACATCTGTGATTGACAGCATCAAGTCTTATGACTCCTCCAGTGAAATAGACTAATCTAAGATATATAACAACTGATGACTGAAAAAGTCCAGCCATTCAAAAAGAAAAGCAAAGTCCAATCATTCATTTTCATATTCTTCGGTAAAGCCCCATACAGGATCATACTGAGCAGCGGCTGTGCCTAGCAAAAAGTACAGCATATATATTTCTTTAATAAAGTCTAAGCTTGTCCCGGAGCATGGGCAGCCCTGTTTCGGAAAATAAATTAAATGATAATTTCACTTACTAGCCACTAGGGACTAGAGGTAAGGTCAACTGTGGGCATTACCAGCAGGGTGAGTAGTGACCTCATGTGGTGAAAGCAATCATTGCCCCCTTATTCTACAGAAATTAAATTCCCCTCCCTTTGGCTACAAATTACTTATAAATTTGTGAATGCCTTTAAGAAATGCTCACAGCGCACCAAGAGTAAAATGCTTTCTAATGCGATGAGGGTATTTTCAGGGATTAAACGGCCTATAAGACGGATTTTCGTGGAATTGGAAGCCTGGTCTGCTGAGACTCAGTTTTTGAAGTACATAGAACTTTAAGGCTAATATGACCTAAAGCACCAGAGGATGAAATGAGCAGTAAAAATGAATTTGTCTATGAACACTGATGATCTAACAACAGCACAATAAATCCACAGTTTAGCAATATGTAGTGTTATGGCTGAAATCCAGGGAATCCTCAGGGCTAATAAGTGATCATTTCTGAGGATTATGTGAACTTTTACCAAAGGAGGAGCATTTCTGAGGGGAAAAAGTCTCTTCCACACTCCTTGAAGAAAAATACTTTATTTCTTTATAAATCCACATATAGTACCTATGAAAGCATAAAATTCCATCCCAGGACTTTTATTATTTTCACTTATAATTCAAATCAGAGATGGCTGAAGGTGTACCCCACATACAAATACGTACACAGTCAATTGGAGAAAAAAAAGAACAGTATTTTATTTGTTCAGGCCAACTTTCAAAGAGACCTGCTTAGTGTCGAACATATTTTTTAATGTCTATTAGAGTCGGTGTGTTTTAAAAATGTCCAAGCATTCAGTTCTGTTGATACATGTGATTTTAAAAAGTTTCAGTGCATTGGCGAGATCCTGGAGGTGTCTTTCTCTTTTGGAATCGATCTCCAAAAGCTGTGTAGAGCCACACCATGCCTGAAAATCAGCTGAACAGATGTACAGTTATCCCACAAGGGCAAGAGGGGAGAAAGTTCGAGTGATTGAGAGAGAATAGAAGAGTGGAATTTATCATAAAGTGCCCAGAAAGTTCACTCGTTATTAGTATATCAATATTTCCATGACCTGTGCTAACACTGTATTTCCATCCACCATTTCACGTTGAATCAGAGCATATTATTCCTTTGGCTTTGCACTTTTCTACAAGCTGAACTTCCCACGGTGTCTGAGCACTGGAGCTCGATCATGGTAAATATTCAGTTTCCATAGGTTCATGAAAGAACAGCAACAGATTCCAATAGACGTGTTCACTTCTGTAGTCCAACGATGGTCATTTTATTATTTTTTTTAATATTATATATTTTTTTCTAGGAGCGATGGCCTCTGGTTAGGACAAAATTATGCCCATATGCTCCAAACAGGCTCATTAATATCCATTGTTTGTGGAGAAGCTTGCATAAGGGACTGAAAACAGTTGCTGTTACTGGCTTCCACCCACCTCTTCTCCCAGTAGTGTATTGGCTCCAATCCCAGGCAATTTATATTAGCCTCCAGACTGAGTTTGCCTAGAAGAACCAGAAGTAGAGATGTTAGAGCCAGCTGCCTACTAGAAAAAAAAACACTTGTGGTAAAACAACTCTAAAGCAGCAAAACAGTAGCAGTGTTATGACAGCATGCTATATGTGCAGGGTATATCATCTGACAGCAAAAAGGAACAAATTCATCCAGTCATTAATATATACGATACATCACATCCGTCAGTTGAATCTTCCAAAGCACTCTGCTTGGGTGGTGAATTGAAAATACACTCTCACAATATTCACAGCAGTAAGTTAGCTGTCAAGCTACGTGCCTGCAGTTCTACAGTTTTCTGCTGAAATGCTCGGTTCAGCAGATTGCGAACTTGAGGAGCATATGGAAGGTAAATTCAGCATGTTAAAAACCTTGAGGACAGACTGGCTTTCCAGAAGGTGGCTGCCTCCTATCTGAGTGGTGTGTCTTCCAATGCGCACGGCCTGAGCGGCACCATTAGCATCCGAGAATGCGCGAAGCCTGTATTAAAGCAACACTTCCAGGCAACGGCAGCTGACCAAGCAGAAACGAAGGAGCAAAATGATGACTAAGCAAGCCTATGCTAATTGGACATCCCCTCAAACAACTTCATTAGCTTGAACCCCTGCTATCAGTCATCAGATACCATGGGGAAAAGCTTAGCGTTTCATAGATTTCACGGTGGTGGAGCTAACAATGCAAGGGCGAGCACCGTTCTGCTGCTGCAGCCGGCTCTAGCTATCTGCAGGCAGCAGCAGGCTAACGCTAAGCCCTTTTCAGCTAGCTATTTTTAGCGTGGTCTACCCTGCCGCAGTCAGGAGGGATTCTGGGTCGGAACTGCTGTTGGCAGGGAGACGGCGGAGAGGTTGTGGCCCACTTTCGACAGCGCACAAACAACAGTAATTACCCCTCCAGCTTCGGGGCTGCTTCTGTCCCACAGCGTGCCTTCACCTTAAAGATTAGACCATTTGTCTCCATATCTGAGACTTGATGCTTTCGCCCCTTCGTCCCTATCTGTCTAACCTCTCTCCCGCCACTTCTCCTGCCTTTCTTCACTCCACATCATAACGCTCCCGTCCTCCCATTTCCCACCTCATCCATTGTTCCTTTTCTTCCTTGCACAGCTTTTCCTCCGCAGTTCTTTTGATATGTACTCTCTCTTTTCCCCACAGGTTGTAATCTCACCCCTCCCTTTTTTTTCAGTCTGAGGTGAAAAACTAATCCATTCCAGGTGAGCTAGAGAACACGCTGCTCATTTCTTCCATTTCTTCTTTCCACATTCAAACCCAGCAGATCATTTGGAAGCACCCTCGGGGAACTGATTTTCCACCCATTTGTGATTCATTTAACCAGATGAATATACACCGAGGGAGAGCAGGAGAATTATTACTCAAGCACGCTGCTGCAGTGCTTCGTCGGCCGGTGACAGCCGCTTTAGAAAGGTTCTCAGTCATACAGGGAGAGGGTGTTAAGAAGACACTATTATTTTATGATGGTCATCTTTCTTGTAGCTTTGCAGTGCAGCAAAATCCCTAACAGGACATTTATTTAAACCTCTGAACCCGGTAACCTTGCGTCTTAAGGAAAAAGAAAAGAAAAAGAAACTCCTTCACTTCTTCCTAACTCTGAACACACGATAAATCTCCCTGCACCTAATTAAGAGTACACTCAGCGCTCTCAACCAGCCATTTCAATTTGCCTACCCTCAGTCCATCAACCTGACCAACCACAGCGTCCTTCACCCTGCTAGTCAGCCTGGAATTAGCTTCTGCCAGCAGGGGGCATGCTTTCATATCAAACAACCCATTTCACTAGCATGAATACATTTCAGGCCCGTTTACCTTACTGCTGGGCTCCGTTTTTTGCTCCTCAGAAGCACTTCCATGGAGCTCAACCATGACCAATTGTCCAAGATGGTTCTTCCAGGCTATGTTAAATGGAGTTATCTCCTTCAGAAGCTGGGTGGTATGGATGCTCGAAAGCCTTCGCTTGCAGCTATTATCTCCCCTCCAAACCTAGCATGGGAAAGAGCTGGGGAAAAGCTCCAGTTGCGCAACTAGGGTCTCAAGTGTCCCACATATACATATGAAGAATATTCTTAAATTATCAATAAGTTATCAGAAATACAAAAGGAGTGATTATAAGGAGTTCATCAAAGCTGCTAGATAACCAGGTGCCTCATGCCAAGGGCCCCAGTGTGATTGCACTTGTCTTGCAAGCCAGACTTCTACTTATCATCAGAGAATATGGTAATTTTGTCGCTCAATGTGGCCAAGAACTGCCTTGTTGATGAGAAGGGTCAACCTGACTGGCATAGAAACTGACCAGCTACAAACTGCTTTGTGTGACAGGCAAGAGCAGGCGATTTTCAAAATACTGCTACAGCAAGAACTAAATTTGCAGGGAACAAAGTGCTGTCATATATCAGCAAATATGTGAGATATCTTGTTTATCCTGACTAAATTATTCAAACAAAACTATTGTACAAATTTTAAAGATGACTTTTGTCAATCCAGAAACTACATCTTGGTTAAAAATCTTATTAGTGGGGCTCCCGAGTGGCGCAACCGTCTAAGCGTTGGTCCCTGGTGATGCTACAGCCATCTGTAGCCGGGAGTCCAAGAGAGCACAATTGGCCTCGCTCTCTCTGGGTGGGCAGGATGGCCCCTCCTTCTCCCCCCATCACTTAACGCGTTGCTAGTCAGCGCAGGCGTCTGTTAGCTGGCGTAACAGATCTGGCGGTTGGCGCTTTCCTCTGAGCACGTTCAGATGTCCAATGACGTTGTGTGAGCGGCAGTTCGAAAAGAAGCCGCTTCACTGGTCTTGGAGGAAGCCTGTGCTCGCCTTCGCCCTCCTAGCGTTGATAGTATCATGTGATTGGGGGAGTCCCAGCTAGCGGGTGGAACTGCCGATGACTAAATTGGGGAGATAATTGGGTTAAACTAATAATAATAAAAAAAAAATATTATCGCCCACTGTGCATGGTAAGTATCTGCGTAGTATGGCTGATTAGCTAGCACATAGCTCAGCAAAAAAAAGTTTGTTTTCTGTTGGACTGATAAAAAACACAAAATTAGGAAACACTTTATTTGAAGGCAAGCTTTGTAACAATGTTATGAAGCATCATTCCCAATTAATGTATAAGGCAGAAGGCTAGTTAACAGCCCCATATTTCAGTCCTACGCACGATTTTAATGCTTTTGAGTATAAATGATATTTTTCATACAAATATGATCAAATATTACTTGAGAAAAATGTCACTGTCTGTGTTTCTACTTGAGTACAAAACTACTAAACTACTGTAAGTTTATTTCAAATGTACTTGAGTATCACAATGTATTGTGGGTTACTGTATTCATTATATTATATTTTTAGATGAACATTTTGATGAAAGGAGACCTAAAAGACATGAAAAACAGAGTTAATTGTTCTGGTCTGCAGCCACTCAGGTCTCTTTAATAGAAACTGTACTTTTGTATTAAATGGCAAGAAGAATAAATAAGGCCTTTGCCTTGTAAGCTCCTTTACTTGGGAATGACGCTTTATTACAGTGTTAGAAATGGAACACATCTGTCTCTTATGTCAATACAATGCCATTTACTTCATAAAAACAAAAAAAAAAAATACTTAATTTATGCCAAAAAAGTCATCAACTTGAGATAATTTTCATAATTTCATAAATATTCAAGTATTGCTTTATAAATAATAATGTGTTATGAAGTTCCTGTGTATGTAGCTTTCAGATAAAATGTTAATCAACATTCCAACAACTGTCAACATTTTCTCATACAGTACACATTAGATCAGGGGTGTCAAACTCAACTCCTAAAAGGGCCATATTAAAAAATCTCAACAAATCCATGAGCCAGAGAACCCCTTAGTTTTATTTCATTTTTAATAAACATTTTGTAATAAACCGAACTGACCATTGTTTATTCAAAATGCACAAAACTTCAAAACTTGAAATGTTCACAATTTAAATGTTTCCAGGAGTTCAGTCTTTTAAACCTACCTATTTGCTTGAACTGGACACCTGGCATCTTTTCTTTGCTGCAAGTTCATTAATTATTGGGCTCAATTTCTGACCTGCTGAGCTGACATTAGGTGTTTATACTGATTAAACTGCAGTTAGGTGATACGACTGGCATGAAACGGTACAGAATTCTGTAGAATTGTGTAGAATTGAGGTGTAACCGTGATTATCGTTGGGGTAGGAGAGTCGGCGTGCACATTACGTTGCAGTGCATGCTGGGGTCTGCAGTGCAGTGCATTGTGAAATGAGTTTATATTATTAGAAAATAAAAATATTTTTGCGGGCCTGATAGGATTGTGTTGCGGGCCTGATCTGGCCCATGAGCCTTGTGTTTGACACATGGGCATTGGATGGTCCATGTACCTCGGGGGCAGCGCATCGGAGGCTAAAGCTACACCTGCACGGCAGGTAGTTACAGCACTGTGGAACTCCATACGTGGTCAAGCACTGCAGATGTGGAAGAGACTGGCCCTCTAGATGCACTAGAGCTACAACTAAAATACAAACTAATGTCTCCAGGGCAGCCAGGGCGCTGATGATTGGTCTCACAGAAAGGAAAATAGGAGAGCCAGCAGGAGGATGAGTGGAAAGCCAAGTGGAGGACTTATCCTCACGACGAACACAGTCTCTCTCTCTCTCTCTCTCTCTCTCTCTCTCTCTCTCTCTCTCTCTCTCTCTCGCCCTATCTCTCTCTGCATTTAGGTGCTGCACTAGTTTTATGATGATTGCTTATTCCCACCAGCACTCAGACATGTGGGCGGTGGCCGAGGCAGCAGCAGGTGAAATGGAGGGATTTTCATCACTTTCTTTTTGGAGTCGTAATGCTGCGGTGAAGTGGTTATTCAAATACACCCCCTGCTTCACACAGATACTTATGTGCGGCGCTAACATTGCACAAAGAAAAATAAGAATAGGTCTATGCCTTATTCCTCAGCAGGAATAACCATAACAAAGAGACACGCATAGTTATACAAAGGCGCCCAGCAAAGCCTTCACTTTCTGTCGTAAACATTCACCATTACAAACATTCACTGGAGACTCATTACTCTTACAAATGAGCAGTATCAACAGAATTAAACTGAAGCTTTCACAACAGTCAGTCTTTCCCTTTTGAGGGCAAATTAACCCCTTAAATTACAGACGTATTGTTCAGATATCAATCTTATTCAGCATACTTATTATTTAGTAACCACTGTCAAGCATTTGGTAAATTTATGAAACTAATATGTAGGTTATGCCATTATGAGAGTAAGGAATTGAACCCACATAGACTTGAAGGGATTAAAAAAAAGACAAAAAGAAATCTTCAAAGACATGCCCTGCGTCTCAGTTCAAGTACATCCAAAGTACACCAGACACTTTCAATGCAAGAAGTGAGTTGAAACAGGGGGATGAAACGGGATGTACTGTACTATTAATACTGTCATGCTGTGCCTGTTTCGAGCAGTAGATGCCATGCATGCACCAGGGGCAGATTTGGCTGCTTCTGTCAAGAAATATACCGGTAGAATTGCTACATAAAACACACTCAAGTGGTGTTTTTCACCTGCAAAACCTCCAAAAACAAAAAAAAAGCCCACTGCTTCGAAAATACTCACTGCTTTTAAGAGGCTGAAGTCAGTTTCTTGTTCCTCAGCTTCTCATTGTAATTTGCTTGTTTCACCTTAAATGGTAGCAGCAGTTACATTCCGGTGCCTGAGGTGCCATTTAAGGTGGAACAGGAAAATACGAGCAAAAAGCTTGTGAATAGAAAGTCAACTTCAGCCTCGTCTGCCTTGATAACCCAACTGGTCCACAGAGTATGAATGCGAGCACTAGAAAGTTGAGACGACTTAAAATGCCCATCCATAATAGTAGCCATTATATATTTGTTAAGAATAGCTAACCATAGCTGAAGTGCAGTGCTGACCTGTTCAGGAGAAAATTAGTCAATTCAGCGTTCGTCTTAAAGTCCTTCTGGACTCTAAGCTGAATCCGTCTTTCAAATGCATCACCAATATTTACTATGTCTCTGGTCATGGAACTTTTTAGAAGCATGCAGAGGCTTTTTAGGTCAGGATCCAGTTTGCTTGCTTGCTTCCATGACTGCAGCATGCTGTGTTTGCCAATTTGTTTCATATCTGGCAACCCAGCATGTCGAAATGGTATTGGGAAATGGGCAGTGGTCAGGATCACAGGCCAAAACACAGACTGTCTGCTCTGGAAAGGCAATTTCAAAGAAGAACATACTGGCTTTAGCACTGTTGATGGAGAAGCCAGTATTTCAATTTAGCATGTTTCCTTAATCTCTGATGACATACCATGGTCATTTCTTCTCTGGCTTGTGTTCACAGCTAACCCCTTCCAATTTAACCATTAATCCCTTAAATGGCTTCTCTAACCTAAGAATGGCTCAGCCAGTTTGCACTGAAGTCCCTGTAGTTACTGAATAATAAGGCTTAGTATGTAATAAGCCTGAGTTTAAGGGGTTAAATTCTTACCTAAAAGTGCACATGAGAGAGGCAGTGTTTGGGTAGTTACTCAAAAAAGTAATCTCAAACTGTAACTGGATTTTTTTTTATTTATTATATCCTGAAAACAGTAATTATTACTGAACAAAATATAACCAATTATGCTTCATTAAGATAATGAACAGCTAATGCTGTTTGAAAACCTAAAAACTAGACACCAAACAGTCTAAAAACTAAATAAAGTCTTTAAGAATAAAATGCAAAGCTTGCAGAGCTGTTTTATATCAACATGATTACATGCTTTGATAGAATGTATGCTGAGTTTACAGCATTTCCCACGCTCACACTGTACTGCTCGTATTTTCAATTGAAGTTGCGGAGCTTTCGAAGGTAACACACGTGCAATTGGATAATAAATACAGAGCAGATGTGTGCTTTTAATGAATCACACATAATTAATATAGATTTGATAGAGGTAAGAGTAACACCAGTAATGTAATTCTTATTAAATCAGTAAGAATTCGAGGAGTGGAGAAAATGCTAGCTATGAAGATCATGATAACAGCAGGTTAAAAAGGAATAAATGTTTAAATGTTTAGTCGTTTAAACAGCTGTAAGTGTTATCTGACTAGATAACACAGTTGGATAAAGAAACATTAGCTCTAAAAAAAACTCACGTTTGTTTTTGTGACTCAGAAAACTGACAAAATGAAAAATTGCTAACTATGCGTAAAGTCAGTCAGGGTGGGGGGTCTCCTTTTTGTAACCACCCAGTAAAGCAATTTCCATTTTATTTTCTTGACCAGATCATTGAGCTAGTGAGATCTATCTTTTTGAAAATATGTTGCTAGATGTGATCACATGATGCATTATTAGTATTTTCCTTGGCTGTTTCATGAAACTTCTTGAGCCGTTTGCAACTGTTGCGGCTGATTTTTGGAGTGAATTTCAGGTTGCTTTACATTGTGCAACTCAAGTGCAATTTAGTTTCATAAAGTTTTCGAGCAACTGAAATTGCATGAAAGTTTCACAATGTAAAGTCAGCCTAAAATTGTTGAATGTTGCTGGTTGGCATATTCAGTGGGAAGGGAGGAGCCATCAGAGGAAGCAATGGTTTGCAAGTTAAAATGTCACTTTGAGGTTTTTTTTTCTTCAATAACTGCATTTCCCAAAATGTCTTCTGCATTACGCTATGCAGCAGAATTTAAAATGTAATTGTTATTATATATTAAATGCTATTGCTATTATAGCTAACTTTAGCTTGCTAACATCAACAAAATGCTAATCTAGGCTTGATTCACTCAAGTGGGTTGCCATACAGCTATTTGTTATTTCCCTTTAGTGCAAAGTGCTCCATTAGAAACAATACCACTCTATACAAATCCAGGCTTGAGATAGTGTCACACATAGTATATAGTACAAGAATAAGGTAGATAGTGTTGAATTGAGACACAAGGCATGTCTGTCTGCTTGTTACCCAGACAAGTGAAAGTCTAGCGATAGTATGGCTTTAATGTGTTCATTAACTAAGGAAGCACTAAAAATCCTGAAACGTCCCCAAATCAGCAACCTTGTGCGCTGCAACCTCTGCGACGACCGGTTGCCTAGCAACAAATCTTATAACAGATAAAGACAAGAAAGGGTTCTATCTCACCTTGGACGGGAGGTAAATCCTCAATAAGGCAGCGAGACCCCAGCACCAGAAAAAAAAAGAAGGAGGGAGGCAAGTGGAGGAGGAAGAGGAAGGGGTGGGAGAGTGTTGGATTTGATCCTGTGTTATTGCGATATGGAATCGTCTTCTTTGACTGATTTCCCATATTCCGGGTTCAAGTCCACCACCGTAGTGCCTTTCAGTGCTCCATAGCCGCCCTCCTGGCCCCCGCAGCCTTCAAGCCTGTCCTGACTAAGTGGGGCGGAGGGTTTGCTGGCCGAACCAGAGGAAGAGGATGACCTGGTGGGAGGCGGAGGGGCAGACGCGGCTCCCTGCTGGCCGCCGTTGGTCTGGGAGCAGACGTTGCTGACTCTAGCGGCCTTCTGCTTGTAGTGCTGGCTGTGGAGCTTGTACTTCATGAGCAGGATGAAGATGAAGACGAGGACGGAGGCCACAATAATGCCACCGATGACGATGATCATGGTTCCACCCAGAAACTGGTCGTGGAGGGAGCGGCAGCGGTGGAAATCCCGCTCTGTGGTGAAGGAGACGCAGCCCACCAGACGAGTGGCCGTCAGAGCCGTAACACCGTCATCGTAAACGGCCAACACGCACAGCTCGTAGTCCCGAGAGGAGGCCAGGTCACTTAGCTGGAAGAGCTTATGGGAGGCTGGGATCATCCTGAGAAAGAGACAGACAGAAAGATATTAATTACTGTTGCTGATGTTGTTACTGCTGTTATTGTTATAATAATAACACTTGTAGTAACAGTGAAATAGGTTGAAATAGTAACATGTATAGAGGACATTGTAATGCTGTTGTAATGCGTTAATGCCTTAACAAGCCAGTTAAAAAGGCTGTTTATCACTACATTAGGAGCTTGTTAATGACCAAAATAAGCATTATCAAGAGTGCATTTATTTGTGTGTTGTATAGTGTTGTAGTACTCAAATCTCAACATCACAGATTCACGGCCTTGGACTGATCTCAGTCTTGGAGTACAGAGGACATGCACCTCTTTATTGCAAGTAGTTAAGTGCAAGGCCTCCTTTATTTGCTTTCCATTTTCGTTTTTTTTCTTTTTTCCTAAGAGCGGCACCAGAAGCAGAAAATATTCACTGCAGTCACTGCTTAAAATATAGTAATGAGCAGCCAGTTAATAGCAATTTGCTTATTAAGGCACAATAAGCGCATTACAAAAGCATTATAATGCCAGTAAAGTGTTAACTTAATCATCATTATTGTCACCATCATCCTCATAATCACCTTCACCACCTTCATCATAATCAGAATAACAATAAAAATAATAATAATTGCTGTCATGGTGTGTCATTATTGCTATCAATTGAATGGGGGAAAGAGAGAGAGAGAGACAGACAGGCAGAGAAATGTGAAGAGAAAAAGAAAAAGTAAGAAAGAGAACAAACGATCGTTTCAGATTTGATAAAGACATAAAGCACAAAGCTCTGTATTATTGATGAAAGAAGGCTAAATGTAAGGAGAAAATATGTCTTTGAGCGTGAAGATCAAAAAATGTGAAATGGAGCGATCAATTCAATTCAGTCGCATTCGGTGGGCTTTATTGGTATCACTGTAGCACAGCTCAGGCAATATTGCCTGTGCTGTGAACACAGAAAAGCGCCAGAGAAGAAATCAAATATTCCTGTACTGGTGGCCAGTCTGATTCCTGATTGGATGGTACATTGCATTGTGACAGAAAGTGAAACCCTGCTACACCTTAGCCAATAACCAACAGAACAGCCAATAGAACAGCTAAAAATCTAAATGAACAATGTCAGCTGCTCCCTTCAGGACAGACAGACTACCCAAGGCCATGTTCAAGACATATAAACACATTTTTACATGCTCAAAGGGGAACTCCAGCCAAAATGAAAAATGTAACCATTGATACATCTGTAAACATGCCTACTTGCCTCCTAAAGTGGTACAATAAAAGTCTTGAGTGTGAGATTTTCACTTTAATGACAAGGGAGACCCCCTTGTGATGATGAAAGCGCTTTGCAAGCGATACTTGAGGGCAGGCTGTCTGAAATTATATTTTTGTTTTCCCCGCTAGCTGGCTAAAGCAGAAGGATACATTGATGGATGCAAAAAAAAAAGTAGGATACAAAATCATGAGAATAGAACATTACATAACAACAAATAGCACATTTAAAAGAAAAATCACTGTAAAATTATAGTAAATTACTGGCTACTTTACTGACACATTGCTATCATAGTAATTCACTCTATCATATTAATAGAAAATAATGAGAAAATACCAACTGTATACTGTGACTCCACAGTTGCCTGAGCCACAAGATTCTGCCCTCTGTGGTACACTTACAGTCATAAACTGTAACTAAAATACAGTAATCTCCTGTATTAAAAGCCAGTTAGTAGCCAGTAACTCACTAAAATTTTACACAGTGAAAATACTAAATACAGTGGTGCTTGAAAGTTTGTGAACCCTTATTTCTGCATAAATTTGACCCAAAACTTCATCAGATGTTCACACAAGTCCCAACAGAAGATGAAGAGACCCAAATTAAACAAATGGTCATTTATTTATTGAGGGAAGTGATCCAATAGTACATATCTGTGAGTGGTAAAAGTATGTGAACCTTTAGGATTAGCAGATAATTTGAAGGTGAGTCAAATGTTTTCAATCAATGGGATGGCAGTCAGGTGAGAGTGACCACCCTGTTTTACATAAAGAACAGGGATCTATCACAGTCTGATCTTCACAACAGATGTTTGTGGAAGTGTATCACAGCACGAAGAAAGGAGATTTACTGAGGACCTCAGAAGAAGAGTTGATGCTCATCAGGCTGGAAAAGGTTACAAAACCATCTCTAAAGAGTTTGGACTCCATCAATCCACAGTCAGACAGATTGTTTACAAATGGAGGAATTTCAAGACCACTGTTATGCTCCCCAGGAGTGATCAACCAACAAAGATCACACCAAGAGCAAAGTGTGTAGTAGTCTGCGAGGTCACAAAGGAACACAGGGTAACTTCTAAGCGGCTAAAGGCCTGTTTCACAGTGGCTAATGTTAAAGTTCATGAGTTCACCATCAGGAGAACACCGAACAACAATTCTGAGCATGGCAGGGTTGCAAGGAGAAAGTTGCTGCCCACCTGCAGTTTGCTGAAGATCACATAGACAAGCCAGAAGGCTATTGGAACTGTTTTGAAAATGTTTTGTGGACGGATGAAACCAAAATAGATCTTTTTGGTTTAAATAAAAAGTGTTATGTTTGCAGAAAGGAAAACACTGCATTCCAGCATAAAAACCTTATCCCATCTGTGAAACATGGTGGTGGTAGTATCATGGTTTGGGCCTGGTTGCCGTCATTGATAGAACAATGAACTTTGAATTATACCAGCAAATTCTAAAGAAAAATGTCAGGACCTCTGTCTGTGAGGTGAAACTCAAATTTATATCTCATATCTTATAATGCAGGATGGTACAGCTTCATATCAACCACACTGTACTTTGCTGTATTATTACAGTAGATAACATAAGATACTAATTTTTCTGATTTCACAATAAAATAATGAATACAATATTTTCCTATGAAAAAAAAACTGTTATATACTGTGATATTTTGGCAGTAATAAGCAGTGCATATTGAACTGTAGTTCTTTGCCAGAGAATTATTATTTGGTTCCCTACAGAACCTTTTAATGGATGGCTCTTTAACCACTCTGATTTGGGCAATCAAAAGTGGTTCTTCACTCCAAATAACCCTTTTTGGAACCAGTTTGTAAAGAGTAACGTTGTTATTTTGTTGTTTTTATTATGAGTGCTACTTCTTGTATTTCACTGTTGTTATTGAACAGTTTTTCAACAGCTTAAGATCTGTCTCTCTTATTCTGTCCATTGTCTGGCATGTCTGTTTCCGTCGAGCCACATTTCTGCAAGCCAAATCTCCCATGTGGACAATAAAGAAAGAACCGAGAACTGAGAACTGAACGGATAAAAACTGTAGGAACCCCTGGCAATGAACTGCTGGGACCCAAACTTGAATAGCGTTAATAAGAGACATCAAAGACAGAAAGGAACTGTGGGTAGCCAAAGGCGTGCTTCTCTTTAAGCTTCAAACAATAACGGGACCTTCCCTCAAGAAGAAGGATTTTTTATTTTTTATTTTTTTGGCTCATATTTGCAAGTCGCCGTCTATTTGTCTTTTGTAGACGACACCTACACTGGCCATGGGCAAGTCTAGCACACGTAGCCTTCACAGGTGAATGACCGGCCCTGAAACAGTCAAATTACTTTTGACCTTCACATTACAACACACTCCTGCACACATATACACCCACATCTACCCACACACACACACACCCCTTTCCCTTGCGGTGTGAATATGATGTGTGTTGCGCAGCAGGGCCTGCCGAGGTTGTGTATGAGTCATGCATTATTCAGAGAGGGGGAGTTTTTTTCTGTCTAGCCTTTTCGACCACTGCTTCGTCTCTGTTTATCACTGTTTCTGCAACGTGCCCCGGTGTACTGGCCTGATAAGATGAAGACCTCCTCCCTGGGTGGCTGTATATGTGTGAGTGTGCGTGTGTAAGGGCTTGACCGTGAGGGTAATCATGTGTAAAGTAAGTACTCATGGTTAATGGAGTGAGTGAGGTCGTGTATTTCAGTCACATTCGACGCACATCATCATTCAAACTGCCCACTACAGCAATGATGTATGGGTGATAAACACTCAGACTGTAGACCTCTGTTGTGTAATAGAGTCACGCAGAGAATAGCGAGAAAAACTGGGAATAGCAACAGGAAACTCTTATTATTTCAGTGAACGATAATGTCTTTTTATCCTCAGTAACATCAGAGACTATATACAGCCGTAACATTAAAACCACCTCCTTTTATCTTCACGCATTATCAGCTCCTTTACCATATAGGAGCACTTTGCAGTTCTACAGTTACCGACTGTAGTCCATCTGTTTCCAAAAATAAAAGTACTTAGATGGTCAGAACCCCCCCCCCATAGGACCACCATTTGGGTGGTGGATCATTCTTAGCACTGCAGTGACACTGAAGCGGTGGTGGCGTGTTAGTGTGTGTTGCACTGGTATGAGTGGATCAGACATTGATCCACTCATACTGACAGATCAGTTTTAAACATTGTGCCCACTCACTGTCCACAGTCCAGCAGTGACCCTGAGGTGTTTAAAAACTCCAGCAGCACTGCTGTGTCTGATCCATTCGTACCAGCGCAACACACACTAACATACCACCACCACGTCAGTGTTACTGCAGTGCTGAGAATGATCCACCACCCAAATAGTACCTGCTCTGTGAGGGTCCATGGGGGTCCTGATCACCAAAGAACAGGGTAAAGGGGGGCCAATGAAGTACACAGAGAAACAGATGTCTGTAATTGTAGGACTACAAACTGCTCCTGTATGGTAAGTGGAACTGATAAAATGGACAATGAGTGTAAAAACAAGGAGGTGGTCTTAATGTTATGGCCGATCACTTTACACTGAGTGGCCAGTTTGTTAAGTACTAACATTTATTGGCCATTTTATTAGAAACACCATATGTCGACCTCTACCCTGCACCTTGCTGGTGTAGATAGCAACTTAAGCCCATCTGTTGATTCACAAGTTATGCATACCTCTAGCCTGGTGGCCACCAACCCTCCTCCTGGAGCTCTACC